GGGCAGCAGAGACCAGCCTGGATGCCCAAAGGGCTGAGTGCCGAGAAAACTCACAAAAATAAGAAAACACATGCAAATACCTTTCCGGTGCAGAAACAAACCGTAGACAAAACTGAAGCACGATCACACTTAGCACAGCAGCTGAAGGAGAAAAAGCGAACTCACTTCCCTACAGCGACGTGTGGGAGGAGGAGCTGCTGCTGGCCTGGGGGCCCGCGGGGGTTTTCGGGAGCAGCCTGACGTCCAGAGCGACACCCCTGGGCCCGGCGGGCCTCTCCACTGAGCCCCGCCGCTCGGGGCCGGGCTCCCTCCCGGTAACACCCCTCGAACTCTGCAGACACACAAAGATGTTCCTGGAAGCATTTCCGTAACGGTGAACAACAGGAAAGACGTGCACAAGGAAGGAAGCGTGTGCATACGTGTGAACGGACACACGCAAGGGCCAGAAAGCCACGGCCTGTCCTCTGCTGGACTGGAGCCGACACGACTGTCCTGTGCGGCCCGGGGAACGCCCGCCCTGAGGTGTCGGGGGCAGGGGAGGGGCAACAGGAAGACCACACAGGTGTGGTCCTGCAAGCACGCTGACCAGCACCGGGAGAAGTTCTCCGAGGTGCCAGCTTTCAGTTACGCAGTTTGGTCCTGTCTGGTCTGCCGCCCTCCAGCTTTGCAGCCCCGGTGCCACCCAGCTGTCCTCAGCTTCCTGTTCCTCAACCTTCCTGTGAGGTTGGGCGGTGGCACCAGAGCCCACCACCGGGACGTCAGGTGAAGAGCGATATTTGGGGGCAAGAACACAAAAACTTGCCGTCTCTCCTGGAAAACAGAAGGGCTCGAGAATCACACTTGAGAGCATATCGGAGAACAACGAAGAAGGACCAAGGTGCCAGAGAATGAAGGCGAGGACGCGGCGTCCTGCCCCTCCCCCGACTCCCCGCCAGCCTGTGACGCTCCAGCCACAGACACGTTCCCCACTCACCTGGCCTCCTCCTTACACTGTGACACCGACGGTGGCTCCGATGGGACCCCGGGGCATTCGTCCTCAGTTCCCAGCTCGGGGGCCTCGGAGAGGCTGCCACGCACAGTGATGGAACCGCCTTTCTGTGCTCACGCTGATGTCCCGAGGGCACGGGCTCCCTGCAGAGCACCCACCGGGGTCACGCACACGGCACAGGTTCCACTCTGCAGGGGCCCGGCTGTGGGCCTGCCGCCTACCCAAACACGCGTGCGTGGCCCTGAGCACTCAGGGTATGTGTTTCAAATATTTTATTGTTTATTTGAAGTAAGACTAGTGCTGATCTGATATTAAAAAAAATCTATTTCCCAAAAAACTGGTCACAGAATTATACCCTCTCTCACTACCCGCCGGCGGTCACAGGTGAATCCGCACGGCCAGGGGCAGAGTAAACGCTGAATTCAGTCAACACAGACACATTCGTGCCGGCGAGTGAGGCTAGAACGGCTCTGGGTCTAAACACCTAAAGTGACTAAATTAAGTGGGCAACTAGCGAAATCCCAATTCCTCTTGTACTGAGTGAACACGGCCATTACAAGCTCCATTGTGATTGTTTTCCTACTCTCGGGCAAAATTTTGTTCCAAAGAATAAATAAGACACGTAGATTACCAAGTAATCAAGGACGGGGGTCCAGAGAGAGTGAGGGTTTACCCAGCCCAGTGTTTTCATCCGAGAAGGAAGGTTGAGGTGTCGAGGTATGGATTGCGCCCATGCCCGGGGGCAGGTTTGCCTCAGAGCACAGGCCCTGACGTCTCCAGCCCGAGTTTCTGCGACTTCCCCTTTATTCTCAGCCAGTTTCAAAGCATTTTTCTGAAGAATTTCTCCACTCTGTCCTCATCTCAGCTCCAGACGAGATTGTGCCCAGGGTCGGCATCCTAACCCTGTGAAATGGGGAGGTGCAAGCCCCTATTTCACCACCAGAGGGCACCAGAGACTCACGCGTTTGGCGGCAGCACGAACTTCAGGGTCAGACCCCAGACCGATGCTGGAAGCCATTTGCTCTGACCCTCCGCCAGGCCAGGGAGCCCCCCAGCCTCATACCCCTGTGCTACCACGTGCGATACCACAGCTTCTATGCCTTCACGTTCATACAAACACCTCCAGGTCAAAGCAGAGAAAATGGGGCCATTGCAGGGGGAGGCACCCGGCACGCTGAGTGGAAGCGGTGCCCAGTGGTACCGAGTGGTACCGAGGCAGGGAGTCTGCCCAGGAGCAGGGTAGAATATTCTGGAAGTGGAGAGCCCGGGTGAGGACCAGCCTGGCTCTGGCTGGAGGTGATGAGCGAAGAGGAAGAGGAGAGAAGGTCACGGCTCTGGCAACTCCAGAGAAACGTGATCCGCACAGAGCAAAAGCCTCACCCAGGAACGAACGGGAGGGGTCTTTAAAGGTCAGGGATCCGACTTTCTGAAACAGAACGAGCTGTGCGTCCTGTGCCGCTGAGTCGGCCCTGACTCCGGGTGGCCCCATGACCAGGTGACGCGCCCGGGGTCCTGTCCCCACAGCCCGGCTCGGCCCAGAAGACTAAGCCTGTGGCTTCTTTCACGGAGTGAGTCCATCCCACATGGGGTCCCCTCCCTCCCCGCTGCCGCTCTGTCCCCGGCATCACTGTCTTCCCCGAAGGGACTCGCCTGCTCACGAGGTGCCCAGCAGGACGGCTGCGGTCTGCCGCTCGGCCCCTGCGACGTTCCGGGCTGTAACCTCCAACATTAATTGAATTGACTCATTAACTAATTGAATTGATGTTAATTATTAACCCACACGTGGTGCCCCCTGGAGGCAACTCAGCTCCCTCCTCTAAGGTGTGAAATCAGTGACAGTTTCTCTTATTATTTTTATTATTTTACTCAATGATCTTTTTTATTTAACGACTTTTTAAATTTAATGATGATTTATTGAATAATTATTTGCATACAGAAGTTTGCACTTTTTTTCAGAGGACAAGAGTTTCCATAATTTGGAGAGACAGCATTTTGGTTCTCGGTCAAGAGCACCTGAGCGGTGCTCACAGGAGCAGCAGCCCCTCGGGGTACGGCTGAGACCCCTGGGGGTGACCTTTAAACTGTCAGGCTGCAGAGGCAGGAACCAGCCTCCGGCCCTCCCCCAGGCTGGCCAAGTGGCCACCAGCTGAAGCCCATTCCTGCCCTCGCTTGAAGGTGGCCCTGGGCGCAAGATGTAACTCAAAACCCCAGCACCTGACGGGATCCAGGTCTGGGAGGAGACGGCAGCCACCTCTGGTGGGAGGCGACGCAGGGCTGCGGCCTCCCCGCCCCTCTCCTCCTTTCTCTCCAGGAGTGAGTCAGCGGCCGGGAGTAAAGCAGTTTTGTTTCTCTTCGTCCCTTGTGGCCAGGCTTGAGGACACCATAGGCCACCAAGCCGGGACCTGAGTAAAAGGCGTTAGGGGTCATGTGCAGAGTCTTCCCCGGGTCAGCCTGCAACTTTTCCTCATTTTATCACTTTAGGGCCTCAGTGTCCTCCTTTCTGGCAGAAAAGGCCGCTGAATCTGAGGGACAGTGACCGGTGACTCGCGGGTCCACAGTCACGGCTGTGAGGCCTTCCCCACCCAAAGGGCTACACCTGGCCACCGGGTCCCTCTGCCGGCCTGGGCTCCGAGTGTCTGCGTTTCTGCTGCACGTGCTTTGGAAGCTTTCGCAGCCACCCGATCTGGTTCTGGGACCCAGGCCTGATGTTCGGGACACGAGCTCGGAGAGAAAGGCAGATTAATGAGAACGGACAGAGTAAGGGCAGCAGAGGTGAAGCCGAAACCTGTGGGGAGAAGCACGCGGGCATCGGAACGCACGCACGGCCGAGCTTAAACCGTCTGAAGGGCGTCTGGCCACGGGCCGCGCAGCCCGGATGGCTGTGAATGGGGCCCCCCAGGGAGTCGTACATTTACTACCAATGTCACGAGATTTGTGTGTGTGTGTCATTACGTGTCACAGTGCATTTAATGCGTGGCCCCAGACAGCCACCCAGAGACGGTGTGGCCCAGAGACGCCACCAGGGATGGACACCCTGGGACACTGGGGGCTGCAATGCTGAGTTTTCAGGGTCCCCAGCACGGCCATCACTGCTGTGCCCACAGCAGCCTCTTCTCTGCCACCGAGAACACCGGGGCGCGGCGTCCATGCCGACCTGCCAGATACCCCGAGAGGCAGGCAGCGGGGCACTGGGCAGAGCAGACACCCCGGGAGGACGAGATGGAATCAACCAGGGACCCACCAGGTCCTGGCAGGGAAGGGGCAGGCAGGGCTGGTGTCCCACCCCAGGAAGAGAGTCTCTAAGGGCAAGCGCAGTGGTTCCAGGCAGCTGGGCAGGGACCATGCGTCCCCACCGGGGTGCAGGTGAAAATTCCGGTGGCAACTTGCAGAGAAGACTGCTTGGGGCCCAACCCCAGGCCTGAGTTCGGAAACCTGGAACCCACCCCAGGTGACGGTCACTGTGGCCCAGGGGGCCAGGCAGCCCAAGGGCAGAACCTCCGCCTCCCTTCAGCTTCGGTCAGGACCCACCGCCATCACTGCCGGTGGCTGCCCGCAGCCCGGCCCCCAGACCCGGCCCGCGGCGTGAGCAGGGCCCACCGTCTGCACTCGGGGCAGCGCATCGGTCCCTCTGTTGTCTCACCCGATGGGACCACCGCCAGCCACGGAAACCACCGCGCCGGCCGTTTTTGGAAACGAATGAATGAAAACCTGCTTCAGTGGAGAACGTAGCCCAAGTGTGCAGAGTTTAAAGCCACTCCATCTGCTTGCAGTGGCCAACGGTCCGCTTGTTGGGAGGACCCGCCCCCGACCGTGGAGACTCTGGCCGAGTCGAGACCCTCGGGGACGTGCGTGGAGGGGATGGACCCGCCTGCCCAGTGACAAGCGTCCGCACAGGTCACAGACCCCCGCGTTCCCGCGCAGACACGCGGGCCCGACGCCTTCCTGGGAAACACCCATGTGCATGCGGCGGTGACGTGAAGCCTGAACGGAAGGTGCATTCGAACGACACGTCTCCGTTTTCACATCATGTTTATTGTTGGGGGTTGTCACAGTGGAGAGGGGTCGCGCTCCCTCGCCCGCCTGGGCTCACTGCCGAGCGCATCCTGTTCCAGACACATCGCAACCAGCCCCTTGCACCCACCGCGCCCAGCACCGGCCACCGCTCACAGCCCGCCTCTTCCCCGCCGCTGCGGCCACGCGGCGCAAAAGCACTTTCTGCGAGTGTCCCGAGAGCTGCACACGCATCTGCCCGGCTGGCAGGGAAATGGCTGATGCCTATACGCAGCCCGGCGGCTCCCGGTGGGAGGTGGTGACGCCGTGTGTCACCTGGTGCGTGGAGCGGACAGCACGACAGCACTCGGAACATTCACGGCCCTCCCACACTGACGAGTGTCACAGGGAGTCAGACCCGGGAGGTCAGACGGTCAATAAATAAAGCTCGAGACGCGAAGTGCAAACGCTAAGTAAACAGAATGACCTGAAATAAACTCCAAGCTGCAGCCGACAGGGGTCCTGATGTCACCCTCTGACGGGCGCCTCTGCTCCGCGGTGGGCTCGGTCCCCGGCCTGTCCCCTCGGCTGCCAGGGCCGGAAGCCACTGCTGGGGGAAGAGCAAGGGGCAGGGACAGGGACGCATTTCCAACACGGCGTTTCTGAGACCGCGGCTGCTCTCGGTCGCCCCGCACGGCGCGGGAAGTCCGGATTCCCCAGATCGGATGGAGTGGGGCCGGGCGGCCGCAAAGTTCCCCGGGACGGGTTACACGTTGGCACCTCCGTGATGTGGATTGTGTGGCCCAGAAAACAGAAGGCGTGACGAGGACGGGTCTTTCGAGTTAGAGCTTCGGAGCTGAGACACCTGAACAGTAACAACCGCACTTTATGATCAGACACCACAAAAGCAGGAATCGTCACCTGTCAACTTCAACCAATGGCAGGACGTGGCCGCTCTGTCTCATCACAGAGTTGACACACTGTTACACGTGAACATGAAATAGGGAAAAAACACTAAAATTCTTCCAGAGGCCAGTGACTGGTTAGGGGAAAATGAAACATGACAAGCAATTTATACATTTACTCAATCGTACGTGTTCCCCCAGGAGCATCCAGTCTGTAAGAAAAGGACGACAAAGCCAACAAAAAACCGAAAACAAAAGCACGAGCGCACAGAACCCGGTGCCCTGACCGCCCCGCTTCTTGTCCTGCGCTCGGCTGGAGGGAAAGGCTCTGGCAGACAGTCCTGAGTTGGCGTGAAGCTGTGGACGGGGGCGCCGGACCCTCGCTGCCTTTCCTGCACCGCAGAGGGCACGGCTCCCTCCCTGAGTGGGAGCAGCGCTGGGCGGCCACCCCTGGGCCCACTGGCACGCAGGAGGGAGACCGCCCCCGCCGGGGACACACACGCCAGGCCCAGGGCTGAGTCTGACGTGGGCCCTGCCTGACGGGGGCGATGAAGGCAGCTCACAGGTTCCGTGCCGGCCTCTGCGTCGGCCCTGGAATGAAGCGTGTTCTGCAGGTCGGGGCTGGGCACGCGCAGCCACGGGACCTGCACGGGGCTGGTTAGTAGCTCGGAGGAGGGGTGTCAGAGCAGCTGCGGACGCAGCGCTCAGTGCTTGTTAGACTCACGGGCAGCGGGGGCCTGAGGGCACGGGGGCCACGCCCTCACTTCGCCTTCTTCTCGTGCGGGGCGTGCGGGACGCGGCCGTTCCTCCTGCACCTGCCGTTCAGGACCCCGTTGTGGTGGTGCCCGTTCGCCACGCTGGGCTTGCGCCCGGGCCAGCAGCCGCGGAGCCGTCGGCAGACGAGGGGCAGGGCCCGGGCCAGCAGGACATAGAGCAGGGCGGCGGCCAGCAGCAGCACGGCAGCCACGTCCAGGAGGAAGTACTGGCAGAAGGACAGCTGGTGCACGGCCGCCCGCAGGTGCGGGGCGCCCCGGTGGCGCAGGACGTACTCGATCCAGTACACCGCCCGCTCCACGGGGTGTCCGGGCTGGTCCCTGTGCAGTGTGGACAGCCGCCGGGCCCTCCGGCGGTAGCTGTGGGCAAGCAACACAGAGCGACCCCAGGTCATGTGGGCCCCGTGACTCAGGGAGGGGGGCTCACCACAGACCCCCAGCAGGTGCCAGTGCCCGTCCGGAGCCCCGAGCACACTGTCCCTTGTCCACCCAGCGGGCACGTCTGCACAGCTGAGGGGCCGTGGTGGCGGCCAGCGGGCTCAGGGTTGACGCCGTGTTTCTGGCTTGATCTGGACACTTTGAGTCTGTCGGCTCTCTCCCACCGTTGGCTTCCAGTGGGCAGAGGGCAGAGGTGCCACTAAACACCTTCCAACGCGTGAGACGGCCCCACAGCAAAGGACTGTTTGGCCAAAATGTCAACAGGACCAAGAAAGTTCCCAAACCACTTCGGACACATTTGATCAATCACAGCACCTTCTCCATCCACGGCACAAATCTTTTTTTTTCTTTGTTTCAACCTTTCTTGAAATAATGAAGCATAGCCCTGGCTGGGGTGGCTCAGTAGATTAAGTGCTGGCCTGTGAACCAAAGGGCCACAGGTTCAATTCCCAGTCAGGACACAGCCTGGGTTGTGGGCCAGGTCCCCAGTAGGGGGCACTCAAGAGGCAGCCACACATTGATGTTTCTCTCTCCCTCCCTTCTCTCTAAAAATAAATAAGATCTTTTTAAAAAGTAAGCATACGATGCCAAATATTACTTATCTTCTTCCATGTTCAATATTATAATGGCTGCACAAAAAATCATTGAGTTTGATGAGTTTGTTTAAATGCATGCTGACGTGACAGCCATCACAACAAGGTCTACAACGACGTTTGGAAGGAAGTTGGAGACAGCCAAGTGCCACTAGAGCCGCCTTGCGGGGAAACCCAGCAGACTCTGTGGCTGCCTGGCAGCCTTGTCTGGGAGCCCGCGGCGCCTCCCCATCTGCACGCGGGCACCGTGTGCGCAGAAACTAGACTTTAGAAGAAAAGCTGCAGAACAGGGGCACAGGGGGCCCACTCTCAGCACCTCAGGTCTCAGACGCACTGCTCCGAGGGCCACAGCTGTGCCGGGACTCGGGGCCTCCGCCCCGGAAGCTGCAGGCCCCCCAGGACGGTCTTCCCTGGGGGCTGTCCCCAGACTCTGGCCGGGGTTCCCACTCAGTGTCGAGCTGAATCCCCTGGGCAGAGACAGGGGAAGCTCACCCTCTCCCCAGGGTCGCTGTCACTTGAACACAAGACTAGTGACCTGTTGTTAGAAACTGGCCACTTTGCTGCAGGCGACTCAGCCCACAACAGAGTTCTACAAATAAGAGCAGAGACCCTGACCAGCCGCTGACGCAAGGGACGCCCTGATCCCCGCGTGTCACACCAGCAGGACAGGGCCCGGCCCTCGGCTCCCCCGCAGGCCCCTCTCACCCCCACCTCGCAGAGCACGTTCGCGGCACCGACAGCGGCCTCTGCGCCCGGCTCCGGAGACCTGGCGTCGCCGGGCCCCGCCCCGCGCGGGCGGAAGCTCACCTGGGGTCGTTGATCACCGTCACCAGGGCCTCCTGGAGCTCGGCCTCCGTGACCGTCTTCCACTCCAGCAGGACCCCCATGCCCTTGGCCTGCACGCGGGTCATGGTGTCGTAATGGTCCCCGAAGAGCGGGATGCCCACCACGGGGACGCCGTGGTACACGGACTCGAAGATGCTGTTCAGCCCGCCGTGGCTCAGGAAGGCCCGGACGCCTGAGTGCCCTGCAGGGGGTCAGAGGGCAGCTTACACGTCTCACACACACAAGCGCCCGACCCGCACAGGCCTGCGAAACCGCTTCCCCGAGAGACTCCTTCCCTCTCTCACGCAGCCCGTGGAGGGTCCTCACAACCCAGAGACGGCCGTGGCCTCTTTCCTGTGTTTTGACGACACCGTCGTCAGCACACCGAGTTTGACGGACTGGTTTTCTAAGTCCATCACCGTTATCAGAGCTGTTTTTAAGCAGCGAAGGTGCGTAGCTCTGAGAAGTTTGTCACAACTGTCTCTCGAATGTGGACGTCGGCTGACCACCGCCACCTGCTAGAATGGCCAGTGAGCAACAGGAGGCCGTCGGAAGCGAGAAAAGGCAGCAGCCGCTCCGAACTGGACAGTTCCTGGCCCGCAGCCGACATCGGGACCTGCCCCAGGGGACCCGACCCTCCTCCTGGAAGGGAGCTGGGTGCACGGGGAGGGGACACCTCTGCTCCTGCTACACCTCCAGCACCTCGGGCCACGGCGAGAAATCATGGGTTTCCATGATGTCTGGTGCTTTGCAGGAAAACTTAGGCAAACGACCCAAATAACGTCAAAATAAACTGCTTCCTGGCCCCTGTGCTTGTCTTTGGTCTCAAACAAATGAACGACATTGAACTTCTCTGCGTAATAAAACCGTGACAGTGACCTACGTGCTCACTGCTGTAATTGACTGCTTTAGGCAATTAGGCTAATTAGATGTAACTTCGCTCCCTGCTAATGCCCAGAGTTACAAGAGGTACGTGGTTAAATTAAGCACATTTTCCAGAAAAGTCAAAGTTACTGACTGGTCTAAACGTTTCCATTGATGGGCCCATACGATTACGCCCCGAAAAGTGTCTCCTGATAAATAAAGATCTGACTCGGTGCGAAGTCTCAGAGCCGAGACGGCAGGAGGCAGACATCACGCCGTGACGGTCCCAAGTGCAGGTCACGTCTGACAGCGGGCCTGGGACTCACCCAGCAGGTCGTTCTGCGGCAGCCACTCCATGAGCTTCGTGTTGTTGCCCAGGTTCCTCGGTCTGGGTCCGGAAAACCTGAGTGCGCACCAGACAGCGAACCGCTCAGAACCCAGACGTCACCCCTGCCCGGCCCCCGGCCCCACCGTCAGAGTCACGGGGCGAGTTTGCACCCCTGACAAGGGCACGCCTTTGACAGTGAACATGGGGTTCCCCTCGCAGGTTCCCCAACGGAGGGGCCTCTGCTTGTCCTGAGGCCCAGGTCCTCCGGCTCCTCCCACCTGGACTGGGGTGGGGCCCACGTGAGCCCCTGGAGGACACTCACCCGCCAGGGCCCAGCCGTGAACTGGGAAGGACACAGCAGCCACCCCTCCGTCCGGGACCCGGGCCCTTGGGGACACGGGGACCCAGAGACGAGAACTCGCTGTCCCCGGCTGAGCCCGGGGACGGTTCTCGGGGGGTGGGGGGGCCGGGACGAGGCCAAGTCCTGCCTCAGCCTTCGAACCACAACCTGGCAGGCCCACAGACAGACACGAACCGTCCTGCACAGGCAGACGGGTGCTTTCCAAGGGAGCCTGACCAGAGGCCCCCAGGGCTGGGTCCGGGGGTCCGTCCACTCGGGTTCCACGTTGGCCCCGTGGGGAATTTTCCCTCCTTGGCATTGACCCCTCTCCCGCCCCCAGCCCTGACCTGAAGGTGCAGAGACATGACATCGGAGGGCAGACGACTGAGTGGGGAACCACCCCGCCCCCGCTGCCCCCTGCTGCCCCCGCTGCCCCCACTGCAGGCCACATCTCCTCACCCACAGCCTGGCTGGCACTTACGCCCAGGTGCTCCCACAGCGCACACACAGCCGGGGGCCCCGCGCCACCTACCTCCAGACCACCCTCTGCGGCAGCCGGCCCAGGGCCCCGGCCAGCTTGTGGGCGATGTCCTCCGACAGGTACTTGACGCCGGCCCCGAAGGACACCAGCACGAAGCCGTGCTCCCCGGACCCGTTCACCCAGCTCTGCAGGTCCTGCGAACCGAGCGACACCGGCATCAGCGTGAGGGAGGCCCTGGGCCCCCCGCCAGCGTCCTGGCCGCCGGGAGAGGAAGCCCTGGGTCGGATGAGATGACCAGAGAGTGCGGAGGGGGACTGTGGGGTCCCTCGGAGGAACGGCTTTTGCTTAAAACGCTTCACCTGAGGACAGGCGTTAGGAGGGCAGAGTTCCCGGTGAAACCAGCCGGCCCAGCACCAGCGGTTCGGGCCCTGCTCTGCCCACGGGGTGGCCGGCCCCAGGCCCAGGGCCGGTTGCGTGCACTGCTACTCAGGCACCGCAGCATCCGCAGGGCCTGCGTCTGGCCACCGCCCGTCCCTGGCCGTCTCCACCTTCTGCGCTCAGCACTGACCGACGCGTGTCCTTCCCATGGCGTGTCTGCGTGTGGGGCAGGCCGTCCCTGTGCCCGACACGTGTACACACACGGACCACACGCTTCCCCACCCACGTGGGCCGTGGAGGGCCCACCCCGCAGAGCAGGACACTGGGCTCCGCAGGGTCCCCAGCCTCACCTGCCACCCCAGGCCCCCAGCCCAGCCCTCTGAGGCCGCCGTCCCCGCTCGCCAGCTGGGGGTGCAAGTGACAAGCAGGTCAAGTGCGGGGCAGGAACCAGCCGCCACCGTCACTCGGTTCCCACACCTTCGGTCCCTGAAGGGAGTTCCGTGCACAACGTCTGAAGAGACAAACTCTCCACACAGTCACCTGCCCCCCCGCAGGTCCTTCGAGGGCACACGGAAAACAGATCCGTCACAGTTAAGTGCCCCATGGCCTGTGTTAGCGTGTTCCCGTGACGGCGACCTGCACACTCGTGACGTGCCTCCAGGCCCGCTGCCCGCAGCTGCACCCCACACGCCTGGCACAGGGTCCGTGATGGGACGAGAGGCGGGTGGTCCCCCCGCGGCAGCACCCTCAGGACCCGCGGGGCAGCCTGGCCCGGGGGCGGCGCCCGAGGGACCGGAGGAGCCGCTGCCCACGGGCACACGGTTCCTGCACATCCGGTGACACTGAGGTGACAGACGCTGAGCAATGGAGGGGACGCGGAAAGGAGGTGCGGGAGGCTCCTGGGGAGACACTTCGTCCCCTCCACAAATGGATGCCCCCCATAAACTGTGCCCCACGGGACACAGCCCACCCCCAGAAATGGGAGGGCTGAGTGTAAGGACCACCCTGCGGGACCCAGGGGAGAAGTAACCCCCGTCCGGGCTCCCCAACATCAGAATCAGGGGCCCAGGGCGGGCCGCTCACTGCTCTGTGGCCCTTGTCCCGAGGGCGGCTGTGACCCGCCCGCACACCCCCCACGGGAGCCGCGTGTCTCGAAGCCACACCCCATCCTGGGCGGCCCATCGTCCTGCGGGAGGCACCCGAACCCTGCACAGAGGGGCTCGTTCATTCTTGTCCCCACCCTGAACCCCCTCGCCCTCCTCAATGGCTCCGGGGCCCCTGGTGGGCGGCAAACGCCCGTTCTGCACAGTCAGTGGGTGACATGACCCCAAACCCTGGGATATAAAAGCCTCAAAACCACCTCGGGGCAGACGTGACCTTTGACACTGCTGATCCAGCCCACTAGACCTCGTCAAACAAAATGCTGTCGAAAACACAGACGTTGCCATTCAGAACGGAAACGTACCAGCCAGTACCCTGTCCCCAGATGTGACCGGCAAAGGCCTCAGTTCCAAGCCCAGCCCCCGCGTTGCCCTGCCGTGTGGCCGGCAGCAGCGGGACCCCCAGCCCCCGGAGCCCGGCTTTCTCTTCTCTGGAGGCGCCGACTGCACCTCGCAGGGTCCGGGGGAAGCCGGGCCCTCTGAATGTGCTGTGTCCCCCAGAGCCACCCCAGGTCCCCTGGTCGCTGTCGGACAAGCAGCGCGCCCGTGGCCTGAACCGAGGGGCACGTGAGGAGGAAGGAGAACCATCGTCCGGTTCACGCCCTGCCCACCGGGCACCAGGTTCTGGGGAGCAAAGACGAGGAAAACCGCACAGAGCGGGGAGGCCGTGAGCACAACATCCGCACGCAGGGCCCACAAGCAGCGGCCGGCCTCTCGGCACAGCGGGGGTTGCCAAGGTGACCCACGGGGGTCGGGCCCAGGGACCTGCAGACGCGGAGAGGCCGCCGCCAGGGCGCGGCCCCGCCGAGCAACCTCAGCTGCCTCGGGCGCAGGCTGAGCCTGCGGGAGGAGGAAGGAAAGACCGGGAGGCGGGTGGGAGCCCGAGGCTCCGCGGCGTCTGTTCTTCCTCACCGGGCGTTTGACTCTGCCGCTAGAGCTACAGGGAAAAGCAGGCAAAATCCGACACCCTGGCTGGGAAGGCGTTCCGTTTTCAAGGTTCCTGAGACCTTGAAGACACTGCACAGGGTCTGGATGTCCCCAAGTCGTGGCCATGGGGCGGCAAGGCGCGGAGGGGAGCAGTCACAGCGGGGGCAGGGGCCACGGGGCAGGAGGCAGGAAGGGGCCCTGTGTGCTCTGCTCCCCGTCACGCAAACCTGGGCCCCGTCGGCTGCCTGTTCACGGCTCTGCTGTGGTGAAGGCCAGGCGACAGCTATGCCCAGGGTCCCAGCAGCGAGTGGGCTTCACGGTCCACCCCTGACCCAGCAAACGCGACCGGGCGCCTGCCACCTGCATCTTCCAGGCTCAGGGCACCCGACTGAGAACTCCCGTCCTCCAAGGAGGCACATCCTCGCAGCGTGGCCACAGTGCCCTCGGTCCCCTGGCCGCCCGTCACGGCTGACAGCAGTCCACGCCTCGCTTCTCCAGCAGCCCCTACCACTCCCCAGGAACCTCCTCAGGTCACAGCCGCCCTCCAAGCCCTGCATGCACTTCTCGGTCCACCCCAGACGGGCCCTCTCCGGGGACACACATCAGGTCACTCGTGTGTGACTTCAGACACGACTCCTCCCAGCTGTAAACACAGCAGGCGCTCACTGCCAACTGCCTTTAGTAAATCGGGGAAGCGGATAGGAGCGTGCGTCCTGAAAAGACAGGAGAGGGTCGGCCAGAAAGCCCATTCAGGCTCCAGAGCTGGCAGAAAACTCCATTCGCTTGCTCCACTCGATGCCTCTAGTGCTTAGCTGTCTTTAACTTCCTTCAGAACAGTTTTGTGAGACTGTACGTGACACCTGTCGTATCAGCGTGCACTTAAAAAAACTGACCAGAGTTGGTGAGTCTTCACGGAGCCACTTTAATACTGAAGGTGGGAGGACGCACCATTCCCAGCACACTGCGCCTTACTTTTTCGAGACAGGTAAAAACACACTGAAATGTGAAATACTAGTGCAGTGTGTGAAGGTGCTGTGACTGACCAAACGTGTCGGAGGTGGTCTGCGAAGTTCCGTGCCGGAGATTCCTCGCTGGACGACGCCCCACGGTCGGGGGGACCAGCTGGAGTTGCCAGCGACCCAATGGAGACGTTAACTGAGGACGATCAACGTGCCACCACGCGGGAAGCAGCCGACGCCCTCAAAATACCCAAAGCGGTAAAGTAAGCGGTGAAAGCGAAAAAGTGTGTCTTTCACTTCACGGGAAAAACCAAGAGGACTCCTGGCCAGCCCGGTGAGAGAGGAACCTGGCTACAGAGGAGTAAGAAACATCTCCAAGAAGAGGACTCACGGGTCTGCAGTCACGCACATTCCTTGATATTTGGGGCTCGTTTTACCCCGTGGCTCCAGGGAAACTGGAGCCGCGACCCCTCTCTGGAAGGGAGGCTGCAGGAAGGCCTGAGCGGCTTCCTGCTGTGAGGCAGCGGTTTGCCTGGAGGGTCTCAGGGTCCCTGACCCTGGGCACCCTGTCTCCAGATGGTCTGAGGGTCAGCGAACAGCAGCCGAGTCCTGGGACCAAGCCGGGGGTCGTGCGGCCGAGATGAGCCAGGCGGCAGCCAGGGCGGCACCCTGGGGAAGGGGAGGGGCGCTCCGCACGACAGCAGGGGCCGGGGAAGGAAGAAAACCCCGAGTCACCTGGAGTTCATCCTGGATTCCTGCCACCGGACGCTGAGTCTGGCAAACTAACCTTCAAAACAGGGGGCAGACCTGCTGCCGAAGGGGCACCGTCCAGGACACACGGTCAGGGGAGTTCGTGCCGGGAGGGGCCTCAGGGGACCCGGGAGAGTCAGGGACAGGAGCTGGTCCTGACATCGGGCTCTTACTTTGGCTTCTCAAAGGCCTTTCGACTTTGCTTCAGCTCTTGGCTGTCGCGCCCAGAGGTGAGACGGCCAGAAAAAGCCTGTTTCTGGCTGGAGTTAGCAGGACGTTGCCCAAAAATGCAGCTCATCTCAGCAAAGAAAGTTTCTAGAATTCAGTGTTCCCACTGACCGTTCAGCTGAGGTACAGCCCCTGCAGACACTTCTGCCGTCCTTCACCTCCACGCGATGTCCCCTGACGCGGACAGACTCACAGATACCCTTCCAGCCGGGCCCTGGCGAACGTCCAGACGCCGAAGGAAGCTGCTCCCTCCTCTTGCAGACGAGGACGCTGCGAGTGGCCACCCACGAAGACAGGGCAGCCGGGACCCTCCACGTGGGACGCGGGTCCCTGAGGCCGAAACACCGCACCCGGGAGCATGAGCCGCCACTTCCCGCTCCCCAACGCGGAGCCTCCACCGGGAGCACCCCCAACAAGCCCTGCAACGTGAGCCTTTTAAATGCCGCACCTCCCAGGGTCTCAGAAAGGTCGCGTTTTCGGGTCTGGCCAACCTCCAGGCAGCAAAGGGGAGGCGGACCCAAAGCCTGAGGGTCGGCGCCGAACGGACCCGCAGCGCCGTTCCCTCTGGAGTGACTCGGCGACCAACTGTCGGTCGGGCACCGACTGCAGGCAGCTGAAAAGGCTGCGTTCCCACCTCCCGGAGCAGGGAGAAGGGCGAACCCTCAGACGCAGTCACGTGTGTGCGTGGGCGGTGAGACCGGATGTGGGGGACACGTGCCCGCACGGCTGGGGCCTCACCTCTGCCCTTCACTGAGCAGACCCACGGTGCTGGCATTGATTCTGCGGCTCCTGTCTTCCTGCCTCCGGTTTCAGCATAAAATATTCACCGTCCTGAAAGCCGACACGCAGGGCGCTGCCAGCACCCGCCCGGAGGGGCCCTGCTCCGCGCCGAGGTTTGGGAGTGGCCGTCTCGGGGAGCGAAAGGGCAGGGTCCTGGGGGAGGAGATGGCGTCGGGGACTGAGGGGAGCACGCCCAGCGGAGTGCGGGTGAGACCGGGAGGAGGGGTCACCACAGGCCGCGTGTGAGCCCGCCAGGCGGATGAAGACCGGGCTCCCTTAGGGGACGACCGCGTGGATGTGTGATTCTGGGCAGCTGAACACGCCGTGTTCCGATCGCCGGCCCCATCGCACAGCCCCTGACAGGTTAAGACTGAGTGTCCCGGTGTCTCAGAGACGGAGCTGTGTGTGGCTCTGTGCGGCCCGCGGGTCCCCCTGGGGAGTCCTGGCACAAGGCAGCACCTGCACTGCTATGGCCTCCAGCCGGCGGAGACCACGGCACGGACCACAGGGCCTGCCGCCAACTCAGAGAGAGAGCGGGCGCCCAGGGGCCCCGCTCGGCTGCGAGGAGCGGGGGCATCGCATGAGCAGCAGTTACACGTGGAGCGGAGCGAGGAGCCCCCCGAGGAGACACGCGCCCTGTGCCCCTGGTCTCCCTCCTCTCACGGCCTGACCGGCTCCCAGGCAGAGAGAGTCCAAGAAGCCAGCTGCTCGGTGTCCCCAAGGCTGTTCCAGCGAAGGACAGAAGGACAGATCTCTGCCTCTGGCACCTCACCTGTCTCTGTCTCCAGGACCAAGTCGCCCAGAGTTAAAAGCGTCTGTAAAACTGGGAGAACGAAGCCGCCCCGGCCCTGCGGCCTCGAGGTGACAGCGCCCAGGCCTCTGTGAGATGGGCACAGCCCTGTCCCCACTGAGGTGCACAGCAGACACCGCCGGCTCTCCCAGAGGAAGGTGGACAGCGATGTCCTTCCTCCACACCGGGGACACGGCAGTGGCGCAGCCAGGAGGGCCCCTGGGGCCAGAGCAGCATCAGCACAAACCGAGGGAACAGTAACGGTTGGGAATTAACAACTGCGGCGCCAGCCAGATGCCTCCGTGTGGCTGTTACCCTAAACTTCAACCCTGACCGAGTGCCTGCCATGGGGTCCGGGCCTTGACGGAGGAGGACGCCAACCCTGCGCAGGAGCCGGGCCCAGCGCGGCCTGCAGTCCGGGGCAGCCTCCCGAGACCTGAGTTCAGGTGCAGCTGCAGGTCCGGCCGAGAGGCAGCCATGTGGCCGAGATCGGGCCCGAAGGGCCTGTCCGAGTGGCCAGGGGAACCCACTGAAAATCAGCCCCGAGACCTGTTCGTCTCGGGTGAGAGCAGGGGGCCTTCGCAGTGCTGCCGCCTCCCTGTCGAGGCCACGGAGCTGCCGTGGCGCCCACTGGCTGCTCCTCTTCCATTCCCGTCGAACACCCAGGGCCCTGGTCCAGCAGGAAGCCGCTGATGGGCGTCCCGGCCAAAGGAAGCTGCTTTTCACCCTGCAGCCCTGACCGCACTGGCTGGCTCCGCCGGTGACCGCGCCAGGACCTGGACGTGGCCCAGCCTCCCTCTGCCCTCAGCCAGGCTGGCCGCGAGCCCGGGCAGCCCAGGGTGGACAGCCTGACCAGTGAGCCGGGCGGCTCACGCGCCCAGGAAAGGACCCCCGGATCCAGACCCAAGCGCTGCGCCCGCCCCCAAGTCAGCACCACCTCATCAGAGCTCGGGGTCCCGGCTGACACGCGGGGCCCACCCTCTAAGCACACTGGGTGCCACGGCTTCATCCCACCGTCCTGTGGCGTCCCCCGGGTCTCTGGTGTCAGGTGATTCAGAGAGAGCTTGCTGTCCGTGCGTGCACAGGGAGACGGGGAAGGAGGTGCTGCGTCCCCACAGAGAACCTCTCCGGGACCCGCGGCCGAGCTCCTTCCCAGCCTCTCAGACTCGGACCCTCCTGTGGGGCGGACAGAGGGACGGACTCTCCTCGTGTCGGGGAAAGAAATCAGGGAACGGAACAGACACGTGAGAGCTTCCTTAGGCAGTGTGTTCAGAGAGTCCCCCCGGTCCCTCCCCGTGGGCGGTGCAGCCCCACCCGATGCCACCGTCCCATCCCTGCAGATGTCGGGGACCAGCCCGCCTGTGAGACACCCGCCGGCAGCCGAGCTGCTGCTACTGAGGGAAGCCCAGGGCCTCCACTGGCCGGTCACCAGTGTCCGGGCTGGGACCCGAGGACGCGAGGCGCAGGCACTGGAGACACTCGTCCGCTCCTAGGCCCTCGCCGGACAGTTTGCGGAGTCAGACGCCAGCAGGGACGCCGTACCCCTCGGCGTCTGAACCTCCCCAGAGGAGGCACCTCGGGACGTGAGGCGAGGGTCCCTCAGAACGTCCCCATGGGAGGAGCCTGCGGGCGCCCGAGCCGGGGCTGGCCCGGCGCACAGAACGGCTCACCTGCTGCGCAGGGAGCGTGTCCTCGCACACTTGCATCTCCGTGGGGACGGCGCCACAAAAATCCCACAGGGAGAAAGAACGGGGAAGCCCAGGCAGGGGAAGCCGGCGTCAAACCAGAAATCACACGAAAAAGCGAAGTGCCACCTCCCATAAATGCTCCAGCCACAAAAGAGATGCCGTCAGATCCACACCCGAGTGATGGTGACAGCGGAGGGGCCACCGGAAGGGCTGAGCCGGGCTGTGGGCAGACGGGAGACCCCATCGCTCACTGTGCCCGTCGGCACCGGGACGGCAGGTAGAGGGCACAGGACCAAGGGCCTGGCCCACCAGGCTCTCAGCTGCGCTCACAACCCGGGTTTTGGCCACTTTCGGGGAAGGAGAACGGCTGAGGATTCCAGGTGGGCCCGGCGAATCCCTGAGTGGCGAGACCACGGCCACTCTGCACGTGACGTCACAGGGCACCTGCTGGCCGACAGCCCCCACATCTGGCCCGGCCCACACTCCTGGGTCTCACCAGATCTATCGAGGTCTTGTTCTTTAAACCTGCTGCCGGGAGCGGGGGTGTCGTGGGGGGAGGGTGGCCTCAGCAAAGCCTGAAGCAATGTTCCCAGCACGTCCCACCCCAAAAGCAGTGACCTCTGCCCCAAATGGTCCTCAACCGAAGCTGACAGCGAGGCCCCTCCTCCCGAGGCCCAGCCAGGCGCTAATGGGAGGTGACGGAGTGAGAAGGGAGGGGTGGGCAGGGCTTTGGGGGAAGAGGAGGAAGGGTCCCGTGCAGAAGCTGTAGGCACCGTCAGGGGTGGCCCGTGGTGCCCAGGTCCACCTGGGGACAGAAACTCACCCGACAGCGGGGGCTCAAACACAGCGAGGACAGAGAGTGTGGCTTCACAGGGCAAAGGGGAGGCACAGCCTGGACAGTCCCCAAAGGGCCGCCCCCCAGCCTCCCAGGGGAAGCGCAGCCCACAGTTGACCTCAACCTCTAGCTGTTACGATGCCAAGGAAGGAGCTCCGTCCGAGTGGCTCTGACCACTGCGTCTGCGGCGCCCGGACCCAGAGGCCTGTCTCTGACTGGGTTTCGCTGGAGCAGAATCCCTCACCTGCACCAAGCGTCTCGTGCTTTCTGCCCACACTCCATGGAGGGTGTGAGTCCCTGCAGCCTGGCCCGGAGCCCACGGCCAAGCAGCCTCGGGTGTCAGACGCGCTCAGAGCAAGGCCAGGGCCCCAGGACCACGGACCCCCCCGACGAGGGGACCTCGGTGGGCTCTGGGTCCTGCCCATCTTCAGCAGCATTTGGTACCAAACAGTCAACCCTGCCTCTTCTGAAAACCCACACGAACGCGGACCTGCCTGCCGACTCGGGTCCCCGGGACCCGCAGGGGCCTCACCTGGGGCAGCGGCCGGGCCGGCCTAGTCAGGATGCCGCCCACGTACACGACGTTGGGCAGCGTGGGCCGCGGGAACTCCAGCGCCAGGTCGGTGCAGAGCATCCACAGGCTGGAGCCCTGCACCAGGTCGTGCATGGACTTGCCGGGCAGCGGACGGTGCTTCCGCAGGATGCGCTCGTACTTGGGCAGCACCAGCAGGCGGACGCCCAGCCGGGACACCAGGTACACGGCCGCGTTCTTCATCCTCTGCCCCAGGCTCATGTGGTCCGTGAGCAGCGAGTTGAACTCAGGCACGTAGGCCAGGGGCGCAGGGGCGCCCACCTCGGCTGGGTACCACAGGCCGGTGGAGAACACGGCGTAGCGCACGCCCAGCAGGTGCGCGATGACAAAGCCGCACATGTCGTTGGGGTCGACGAGCAGCAGGTCGAAGCGCTCCCGCCTGAGCGCGCGGAGCAGCGGGCGGTTGCCCAGCACCAGCTCGCAGTTCCGCGTGTACTGCTCCAGGATGTCCAACAGCTGCACCGCCGTCAGCCGCCCCGAGAAGATGTTGCGCATCTTGGCCTGCAGGAAGGCGTCGGAGGCGGAGCTGTTGAAGACTCCCGGGTAGCGCCGCAGCCCGTAGTGGGGCGAGGGCGCCAGGTCGCGGCCCTCGGACAGCAAGAAGACCGTGCGGTGGCCCCTCGCGTGCAGGGCGGCGGCCAGCGTCTGGAAGATGTACATGTGGCTCTCGAACATGATGGGCGGCACCACGATGATCTTGGCGGCGTCCGCAGCCCCGAGGGCGGCGCACAGAAGCAGGAGGCCCGGCACCATCGCTGCAACGACACAGGGCCCCGCTGAGCAAGGCACATCCTCGCCTCCCTGCCTGCCGGCCGCGGCCCTGAGGGCCCAGCCTCCGTTCTCACCCCCGTCCCCCCAGATCCCCCGTGGGCCCAGCCTGGGCGGCAGGCTCGCAGCCCTGAAAACCTGCAGGTGACTGGAGAAGGCCTCCTGAGTGACAGCCACCGGGCGGCAGTCCCTCTTTTCACAGAACACAGGCGTCAGTCCGGGCGCAGGACCAGACCTGCCTGCCTCCCGTTTACACTGTTTGTCTCAGCAGCTCCTGCTCCGTTAACCACCAAACTCCGTTCTACAAAGTAACTGTTTCGGGTGGCCCTCCTACGAGAGACCCTGCCCGCAGGGAGACCACACGCAATGTGTCGGCCTTTGGTCCCAACCCGAGTCCCCTGCAGACGCGGTCAGGGCAGTGCCTGGGAGGGGCCCCGACAGCTGGTCCCAGGAAGTGGGTGCGCAGTCCCCATCCCACCCACACCTGCTGCTGGTCCCGACCGCCCAGAGCCGGCTGACGGCCTCCCACCCTCACGGGCGTCGTCCGCTGTCTCTTTACTAGCAAAGTAAAGGCCCCCACCCCTGGGGGGCCGGCAGGTGCAAACTGCCCCCCCAACACAGCGCCGGCCACCTCCACACCAGGCATCGGCCCCAGGCATACATAGGTCTCAACGCAATGTAGCAAGTAACTGGACACTCGCTTCGCAACCGATCCACGCACCTCGTGAAGCCGGTGTGAGCTCACGCGTCACCACCCGCTGACCGGCCGCCCGTCGGCACCTGAAACTCAGCTCCTACGACTGTACCTTCTCCGCACGTGCAGGCGGCCAGCAACCTAGAAAGAAAAAGAAAAGGAAATAAACCAACGACGGGCAAAGGACAGATAGAACCGTGCACAGACTACGTTTCCAGCCCCCCACCAGGGAGCGCCCAGAGTGTCTGCAGAGGAGCCAGCGCCGCACCTCCCAGAGGCGACAGTCGCAGCGACTCCCTGCGGACGTGTGGACCCACGGTCGCGAGGGCCTCACGGCACAGCGAGGGGAGAGCAGCGCCTCCTCCGCCCCGACCGCCGCGGTCGACCCTGCGAGGCCCCAGGTGGGGAGGGGCCACGGACTCGAGAGCGGCAGACCCGCCAAGGCCTTCACGGGGGTGATGCGCCGACCGCAGCTCCCCAGGAGCCACCGAGAGTTCGCCGTGGTGAGAACCCAGCCCCGCGGGCCCCTCGGCTCGCCCATTTTCTCCAGAACCACAGCCGAACACCACGCGCCCCTGGCTGTTTCCATCCACTCATCCACCGACAACATGGGGGCCCCCGGGCCTGCGTGGAAGAGCCGGCCCGGTTTCCCCCAGTCGGTGCAGGACCTGCGGCAGGAAAGCACCTGCGAGGTGAATGCCACCAACGCCGGCACCTGAACCACAGGGCAGAGTCTGGCTCAGGACGGCCGGCGTCCCCGTGGGTGGACCGTCCAGTCTCCCGTGGCAAACGAGAGCTAAAACCAGCATAGAGCCACGTCCGCACGCCGCCCAGCTCTCGGGAGCAGGAAGGGCAGCTTGCAGCCTGGCCCCCCGACTGGGCGTCCTGGAGCCGCCACGCCAGGCCCACCTGCTGCCAGACGCCTCCCCGTGAACACGGTTTCAGAGGCTACTTCTCTTGCCACGTGAGCCCCGGTAAAACCGCCCAGCAAATCGAAGACTCTCCAAGCACTGTGACTGGTGCCTTTACATCAACATAAACCTTAACATCTATTCTTCCCCTTCACAACTCAACCTCCTAAAAGGTGGACGTTTCAGCCAACATCGGCGGCTGGTTCACTGCCATTGCCTAAGCGCCTAGCAAGGGCCGATGAGGCCTCCAGAGTGCAGGGCCTTGACTTTGATCCAGGACATGCAGCCCGACCCCAAGAACCACCACCGACAGCCTCGCGTTTTCCTTTCATCTTAGTGAACGAGCTCACATTTCGCCCACGGCCGCTCCAGGCACTGAGCTTCCTTCCGCAGCTGGACCCGGGACCGTTCCCGGGACACTCGCTGGAGGCAGGAAGGGGCTCGAACTGAGCCGGGGCGTCTCACCTTCCCCGCTGCTCACTCACACGTCAGGGAACTGAGCACGCGGCCCAGAAATTCACAGGCCTCGCCGTGGAGTTCCTCTCCCGCTGGGTATCCCCCAGGCACGGAGGCGCCCGGGCTGCACAGTCTCCCTGTTCTCCAACCTCAGAGCCTTCACTTTCGCTTGGCTCACAACCAAAGCCACTGAAACCACATGCCAGGCCTCTGTCACGCAAGGTTTAGCCACACACGTGAGTTCTGGCCAGTGGGTGGGGACGGAAGCCCAGACCTCAGAGGCCCCCAGCCTCGGCCCCCTGCTGGCAGAACGGGCAGAACGAGGATGTGGTAATGATTAACAACCCACCGGAGGCAGGCACCCTCCGGCCGACGGCTGGAGCCGGAACCTGGGCCCCAGCCGGTGCCCAGCCCAGGCCGCCTGCAGGGAGTCCGGCTGTTTTGTTGGCCCTTCACCCATCCCAGTGCCTAACCGGAGGGGACCTCATGAGATGGGACAGTCCTGGGCACGTGGGCAAGCTGGTCTCCCCGCAGCCCCCGCCTGCACCCCCTCTATGGCCCGGGGGCCTCCTCCCACCTCACTGAATCCACAAGGGGCAGAAACAGCCGCCCCAGCACAGGCGCGAGGCTAAGACTGTGGCCAGGACTGGGGGGCGACCAGTCCCGAACCCACTCTTCATCCACTCGCAGCCCCCCTCACCCCCACGAAGGAAGAAAGTGACACTGGAGAAACTCACGGTGCCTGGGACACCCCGCCTGGCCACCAGGGCCGCCGAGCAGCCAGTCTGTGAGTCCCTCCCACACGGGACACGGCACACTTCCCAGCTTCCTGCCGGGAGCGAGGGGTCCCAGGACCCACACCAGGAAAGGCAACAGGCGGGAGGCCTGGGCGAGACCACTCACACCCAGGCCCAGAGGGGCGGTGTTGGGGTCGGGGTTCACTGGCACCCCCAGGACAGAGAGCCACGGCTGGGTGAGGGCAGCTCAAGGAGTCAGCACACGGGGAAGGGGCTCGGACCCCCCTGCCGCCATCTCCCCACCCCACACGTGGCTTCCAAACCGTCTGCAGAACCCAGAGACGCTGGAACGGCAGCGTGTGGCTCCGGGCAGACACCTGGGTACCAGAGCACACGCCCAAAGCTGCTGCCAGGGGGTGCTGGCCACGCCTTCTTTTTTAAAGATTTTATTTATTTTTGGAGAGAGGGGAAGGGAGGGAGAAAGAGAGGGAGAGGAACATCAGTGTGTGGTTGCCTCTCGAGTGCCCCCTACTGGGGACCTGGCCTGCAACACAGGCATGTGCCCTGACTAGGAATCGAACCAGCGACCATTTGGTTTGGGGGCCGGCACTCAGTCCACTGAGTGACACCAGCCGGGGCCACAGCTTCTGTCTGTTGCCTTTTTCCATCTACCAGTCACCTGGCAGGCACGATGGCAAATGCGCGACTACTCACAAGACATCCCGCGGGCCAAGCTGCCACCTGAGGGAAGCAGGGCCCACGCGCCCTCAGGGAAGCTGGGGCTCGCGGTGCCGCTCTGGGGGCCTCGCCCGCACCGTCCTCGGCTGGGCGCTGCCTCGTGGCCGGGAGCGCACAGGTGGACTGCCTCCCGCAGGGCCCGCCGGCCGCTGCCCTCGCCTCCGCAGACGCCTCTGTGCGGCGTTTCGGCCCAGACGGAAACTCAATGCCCCGCTTAGGGGTGACAGCTGGCCCAGCCTCCGTGTCCTCGGTGGAGATAATTTAAAAATGAGAAAACAGAGAGGAGGGTGGGCCAACAGGGGGCCACAGGGACCCGGCGGGTGCTGCGCCCTGTGCCACCACCGAACACACAGACCCACCACCAAGGGGAACGGCCCCCGATGCACGTGTCCGAGAGGAACTGCCACCATCTCCCAGGAGAGGCCGCAGGGGTCCGCGTCCACCACCAGCAGCTGATTCTGACGCCCCCCCGCCCCACACCCTGAGGGGCTGCGTGGAAGCTCAGGGTGCAGCCGCTGGACGGTTCGCAGCCCCTCGCCCCCCGTCCCTGACAAAGAGCTCCTCCCCCAGGCGTACGGGAAGGCGGAGACGGGCCGGTGGCACCTCCCGACCTCACCCAGTTTAAAGCCGCAGTCCCACCATAAACGACTTGGAAACCACTGTGTCTGCAAAGTATGTTCAAGGTCATTCGGAGATAACTAAAATAAATGTCAGTGCATGCAAACTGTGCGTTTGGGGTGTCTTTTGAGGCTGCTCCCATTTGAAGCTGTTTAAATCGCCCACTTCCTGCTCTAAGGCCCTGGACCGAGGTGCCCCTGAAAACGTGCCTGGCACGCACTGGGGATCCCTGCCATCGGCCTCCGTCACTGTCACTAGCGAACACCTGCACCCTCCTGAGTGGCCAATCGGTCACCCAGACTCGATGGCCCAGGCTCAGGTCACAAATGCCAAGCAGGGGAGCGCAGAGCATCTGAACTGAGACTGTCCCTGGCCCTCGGGCCGCAGGGCACTTGGTCACCGAGTGAGATAAACGAACCAGCGAGAGCGGGGGTCACCGACCCACTCCAGCAAGGGTTGCAGCCGCCAGGCTCGGAGTCCGGTGCACACCCAGTTTTCAGATGTGCACACACAGACACGCGTGGAATGGAGACAGACACACAGACGTGTGGGCAGGAGGGAAGTGTGGTTTCTGTGTGTGTGTGTCCCCCACTCCACCTCCACCTTCCACACCCTGGGACCCGCGGACGCTCTGCAAACAGTGGAAACTCTGTTTGGGCTGTAATCTCACCCTCCCCCGCAGAGCTGAGGACACGCTCAGGGGCCACACGCCGGCCTGGTGGGCCTCCCTGGTTCTGCCAGCCACCTGCCCTCTTCAAACCGCGAAGCTGAAGCGCCTTTCGCAGCATCTCCCTAGGGCCTGTCCTGTCTCTCACTGGCATTTCAGTTGGTGGCTGGGGGGCAAACCCAGGCAGAATTTTGCGGGCCCTCCCAGGACACAGCTCCACCTGTCGGGGAGGGACTTTCTCTGCACCTTTACTGGGAGGCTGGGACCACAGACGACCCGGCTTTGACTCCTGCTTACGAGCAACACCCTCCCCTCACTCAGCAGTGCCAGGCCACGCTCCACCTCGGCTACGTCAACATCAGCGTCACAAACCAAGTCGCAGGCGATGTCTCAGACATGCTTTGGAGAACAAAAACGTCTGGCCAAACTTAACCAACAGAATCCCGGACCCTTCCCTACTGTCTTCCTCCGAAGTTCCCACGAGGGTCCGGGAGAGGACGCTGCCCCTGCAGACCCGCAACCCCAGCAGCATCACTGACTGAAGGCTCTGCCGCAGCCGAGGAGGCGGCAGGGAGGCAGCCTCGCTCCCCAGAAGAGAAAGCCCTGGGGGAGGGGGTCTGCGGGGCGAGCAGTGCAACTCCCAAGGCCCCTGTGAACAGGGGGAAGCGTGGCCCTGTGTCCCCTCAGCACCTGGGCTGTACCTGGTGCCACAGGTGACAGGCAGGTCTGCTTCAGGTGGCCCGCTGCCTTGCCAACTCAACGGGAATATACTTCAGCACTGGTACTTCCCGTATTGTTACAAAACGGTGACGAGCTTTTCCGAAT